TGAGGGCAGGCGTTGTCTGTGCCCATTTGCCATTCTAGCTCCAGTGCCAGACACGGTAGACATTATATATAGAGAGAGAGAGAGAAAGAGAGAGAGAGAATGTCTAAATACATGAATGAATAAATTATAAGATGAGTTAAGTACTTACTGAGTACTTCAGTTATTTCATTTAACCCTCTCAACAATCCTATAAGGTAAGTATTAGTGTTATATCTCTTTTGCACAGAAAAAAGTAAGGGAGGTCATCTGTCTTACCCCAAATCACACAACTCATAACTGGCAGGACCAGAAATCAAATTACTGGGAATAATTGCAGAATGAATGTATTCTGTTTCTAATTACTTCAGCCTTGCAAAGTAGCCTTCAAAATGTCTCCTGGCTACACGGCTTTGCGTCTGAGACTTACACCCAACATTAAATTACACTCCGCACTCTCAGATTACTGGTCAGTCCTCTTCTAGCATTGACCTGCTGATGCCTGATTATGTATTTAGATACTCCAAACTGACCTAGCATGAGCGCCATCTGCCAAGAAAGAGGAAGCAGTGGTCAGGCCCAGCTATGATGAGACAGGTGATAGGGCACTGCTGCATAACATGGGAAGCCCTGGGTTCAGATCCCAGGTTGACCTGAACACTCCAAGTGTGCCTGTGGGCTGGCTAGAAGGCTGGGAGAAAGAGCTCAGCATGGTGAGACCTGTCAAGGGTGTCTGTCTGTCTCTCTCTCTCTAAAAACTTTTAGGAAAAAAAAATAAAGATAAAAGAAGAAGTGGTCAGAGAGGCTACAGGAGAAATCAGAACAAGAGAAGACCCTATAGGAAAGGAGAAAACATTTCTAGACAGACAGAATCACTGGATTTGATCATCCATTTTCACACAGTGATGGGGCAGAGGCACAATGCCAGGGCCTAACAAGGCTGTCTATGCAGAAGCAGAGGCTGTCACTGGGGAGGAGTGTGCAGTGTTGCTGTGAAAGCCAGCTCTTACGTGGTACAGAGAGGGGAGCAGCAGGGTCCACCACGTTGGGCCCAGTGTGGGCAAAGTGACGTTGTCAGTAGTTACAAGTACAGGCTCTGCAAGCAAACCTCATGTTCCCATCTCCATTTCACCACGTAAGAGCTGTGTTATTTGGATGACTTACCAACACTCTCTGTACTCCATGTTCTTCTCCACTTAATAAGCACTCCTTCTGTATTAGGTTACAGAATAAATTAAATGTGTTCTGACTCATCATAAAGCCTCAGTGAATGTTAGTTACTCTTACAATGATTAAAGCAGAAAAGAGTCCATGATAATGGACAGGGATGGTTATGAGTGATTCGATAATTGCTTGAAGAGAGTGAAGAGTTGATGGCATAGAGGGCAAAAAGGCAGCACTTAGCCTTATTATGAGTAAGGACAATGTTGACTCTACGTCAAAGCAAGGAAAACAGGACAGAGAAGTGAGATGCAGAAAACTTGAGGCTGCCCGAAATTTTTGCCAGAAAGTCTAAGATTTGATCTTCATACTCTATGCTAATATGTATTTATAATAAGTAAATATGTTTTTAGACAGAGCTAGATAAATAAATAGCATTGATATTTAAATCAAATGTGTTAATGTTGCAGGAGAGGTGATTAAGACAATGATAGATAAGGGTCTTAAGTATGGGTAAGAAGATTTTGGAAAGTCATAATGAAAAGTGTCTAAGTGACATGAATAAAAATGTGAAATTCTTTTAGCCATCAGGTTGTGGGAACAGAATAAGAAGCTACTGTAGGGCCAGCAGGTGGCATGGAGGTTAATGCAGCTGGATCCCACATGGCCAACTTCTTGGTTTGAGCTCTGGACCCAGTGGCTTGAAAATCATGCTGAGTATACATGTGTGCATGTTGGAATCCCAAGAAGAGAATGGAGGAGGAAGGATTGTGGCATGGTCATCCCTTCTGAGGAATCATTCCTCACCTTCTCTCTCTCTCTTTTTCTCTCTCTCTGCCTTTGGTGAGCATATGTGATCTATAGCAAACTTTAAAAAAGGAGGAAGAGGGGAGACATTCACAATGGACTGAGCCACTGTGGTGGCTTATTATTATTATTTTTCTTTTTGATAAACCTATGTTCCTAGAAGAGTGGAGAATGTGAAAGTACAAAAAGCAAGGCTTAGAAAACATGTCTGTCCAACAAAGGGAATGAGAGGAGAGTGGTTTATGTGGAATTCAACCGAGTGTGCATCATATGTAAGGCAGATGGAAAGAAACAGGCCTGAGGAAAGAGACCAGTGGAGCTAGCCCCACGGGCTAGTGGTTAAGGGAGCTGGAACCCACATGGCCAATCATGACTAGGATCTCAATTTTGGCATCCCCTACAGCCCCAGTATCACACAGCACCCTGAGTGACCATGGCTGAGCCGTCAGCACCCTCCTCTCAAGCCTATTGTAGAGA